TGTTTTTCCATAAAATCTTTAAGGGACATCAGAAATGTGTAAGTTTTGTTTTTCAAAAATGTGTAAGTTCCAAGGTGTAACTTTTATGGACAAAATTAATTTATAAATGAAGTTTGGTTTTTACAAAAAGTGTAAGTTCCAAGATGTAACTTTTATGAACAAAATTAATTTATAAATGATGTAACTTTTCATAAAAAGGTGTAAGTAGTCAGAAAAGTATAAAATTTTAAAAAATGAGAAGTGTTCAGAAAAGGTGTAAGTTCCCTCGACCCGTCCGTCTCTCTTCCATCTCGGACCCTCTCTCTTTGTTTGTCTTTCTCTCTCCCTGTCTCTCCGTTGTTCCATTTCCCCGTAGCTGTAGGGTTTTACAGAGAAAAATATTTTAGGGCAAAAATCATATTGTAAGAACAAAGCTTATTTACTTGAGTTTGGCGAACATCAATCATTTAAGTTCTTGGGAAGGCTAGCCATGGAAGTGGATGCATAAATTCTTTTTTGAAGTTGATTTTTGTCGCTGGAGCACAACCGCAAGGGTTAATCGAGCACCACCGTCGGTTTGTCTGCTCCGGTTGGTATTTCCTTTATTTCATGCTGGTACATTCTCTGTCTCCTTGTTTGTCTTCTTTCATTCGCATATACCTTCACAGCCAACCCGAAATTGACCCAATAGGAACTGTTCTGTACTCCATTTTTGTATTTTGTGTTATTCGAATAGGAACTCTTCCCTCTGCTACCTGAAATGGACCCAATAGGAACTGTTCTGTACTCTATTTTTGTATTTTCTCCCTTTCGAATAGGAAGTCTTCCCTCTGCTATCAGTGCTGCAAGTTGAACATAGGTATCATAGTAGTTAGCAGCAAGCATAAAAGGTGTTTTGCATTTACATGGCGAACTTGTTAAGTTAGGTTATATATAACCAAAGAAGACTTAACAAAAAATTTGTGTAATGTTGGCACGGGAAGAACAAATTTTTTTTTAGAGTACCGAAAAAAGCCAAAATAAGAAACTCAATAAACAAACAATGACTAATCTTGATTCCGCAACGGCTAGCATACTCGGTTGAATTCTGCTTTCAATTTTGTACTACTCAGTGATTTTATATTGCCGGAACTTATGTTTAGAAACAATCTGTGTTACACGGAGTCTTCAAAATAGATCAAATACCCGTGTCGGACACCTGAGAGTCGGACAAGGTTATGGGATATGTGTCGGATACTTTTCAATGGACACTTCTTATATAATTGTTTATAACACAATTATTATGTGTGCAAATTATTGTCAAATTACTATAAATGTCATTTTGACACTGTAAGTTACATATAGTACCATTTTATGTCACATATTAGATTAAAAATATGATATTTTTTTCCCAGACCGCGTACCGTTGAATGTAAGATTTAATGAGTTGGACCTGTACATACATACCCGCACCCGGCACCCGTACCCGAGTCTGTGTAACACAGGAAACAACTGTTTGATTCAATGCTGAAGTTCATGCATAGTTGACGGTATTGAACTTAAAACATAGGAAAGCCAATTGAAAGAGTTGAAATGAGGATGGCGATTTTCAAATTTTGTAGAGAGCTATTCGTTCCCCACACCCAATTCTTTTTCCAGAGTCGAACCCTTCACTTTCATGGCTAGCCTTACCAACAACTTAAGCGGTTGGAGACGATGGCTGAAAGCCAATACCTTCTCCCCACCTAATTCGAACAAGCCTAACATATTAAGGAAGAAGTTTGCCTTCAGTCCTTCTCTAATATCCAACTTTTCTAAGATGTGGTCCATCCAGGCATCGTCAATGCCCTCTGTTTCTGTGGTTGACGTGTCTGTAGGTGAACTCTTTGGGAGAGATGTCAACTGTGCGTGCACATAGAGTGTGCTCCCATCCTAGCTGATGTTCAACTTTTTAAGTAAGTTGTTTAGTTCTTCAACTTCACGAACTGTTGTAGGGATGAGGTGAAGAAATGCAGAAAAGTCAACGTGCCCAGGCAATTCATGAAGAAAATCTCATTCGTAGAAATGGACAGCCTTGCTTGTCATTGCACACAACTCTTGAATGACGGTTACCTTTCTCTTGAAATTATCATCTTTCTGTTGAATAGCAGTTACATTTCAAGAGAAAGGTAGCTATCATTCATGAGTTACGGGCTGTCTCGACTTTATTGAGCGAGTTCATGAAATGCGTACTTTCATTTGTGGGAGTATGACCTTCGCCCAGAATGAGAATGGATGGGTACGTTAGAAATATTTGTTGCAGGCAGCGGCAGTCTTGCTTGTTTCATTGTCACATACAATTGAAGAAACTTGCTTGTACACCCGAAAAAGTATTCTTCTCTGATCTGCCCACTGTCTGAGCACCCGAAGGTAATGGAGCGTGGGCCAGGATGCAGCCACCTCAATTCTCTGTAACCAAGTTGCTCAGTAAGAAATTGAAGCCCTCAACGTGATGGGGTTTTATCTAGTTTTTGTGCCTGGGATGAGGAATCCTGTCCAGATTGTTTAACCCCGTCATGAAATAGTTTGGTTGCTTCTTTGTCCTTTGTAGTCGGGCCTTCATAAAAGTATGTGCGTGTAGTCCTTCAGCCCTAAATGAAAAACAAAATGTAGTCCTTCTTCAATTTTTGGGAAATTATGCATTTATCGCTTGTACACATAATTATTTCAATTGTAAGCTGTGTGAAGTAAATGCAAAATTTTGATGTGTGTCCTTTCTTTTGTCCGTTTCAAAATCTGTATATGTGTTGGGAAATTCTGCGTTTTGTTGTCTGTGTTTACGCAAAATTTTCAGGTTAACAGCCACATGTTGCAGCCGTTTATTTGTGTTCTTGTAAATATTGATTGGAATACTTTGCAGGAATTGTCATCATTGCATCTGATGGATATTGGTCACCTCGCACCAATAATGTTAGTTTTCTCCTTCAAGACTTGCTACCAATTGGTTTCGTACATATGTTTGTAAACAAACGAAATCCATCACCAAGGAATACGCTGAATGTTTTTTTGGGATCAATTCTTACAGCATCCCATCTACTTTTGTGTTTGTGTTATTTGTTTTGCACAAATTTTGAATGGCCTTGTTTTGCATCATCTGCATGTGAACTTTTGTTTCAATTACGTCCATTTGTGTGCAACTCTTCCCTGTTTTCTATCAAAAAATATGCATATACGTGGTAACTGTACTTTTTGTTGTAGTCAACGTATAACTTTACTGAACTTACATAATCTCAATCAATTGACATTACAATATTTGTTATAAAAATCACAAACGGCATTAGCAATTTGACAAAAATTGTCCAGGAAGTTTAAAATGGAGTGTCAGAATTGAGGGAGTTTAAAGTACTTCGATTCAAATTAGACAACGGACAAAATGTGTTCACCACCCCTATAATTTTCCTTTCAATCTAATTTGTATGATTTGCTCTTTCATAAAGGGGAAGGAAAAGATTGAAGACAATTGCCGAACAACATATCCAAATGTCTGACACTATCGCTGGGTCTTGTCGAAAGCGACCAGTTACACCATTCATTTGTTATAGGTACTGGTTGTTCATTTTGACAATCTGGAATTACATTTTTTGTATTGAAACTACGTGCCTTGGCGAAGTTCAGTTTGTGATGTTTGAAATTGGTTTCGTTCCGCATGTCTGAAAATGTTTAAATTGGTGTCGATTCAGTCCCGGATGTACGAAAGCTATCTTATGCCGATTTCGGGGCCAGCTTGACATAAAAACTTGCATATATATATATATATGTATTCATATTTCACATTTAGTGATGATAAGCTTGACGATGCTTGTATGCAGCCAGCAACAATTCAAGGAAATGCAAGGGCCAAACAACACTCGACGAAAAATGGTGAGTGTCGAAATCTGTATTCTCTATAATACGCTATGATGGAAACACATGGCTGGGTTGCTATCCACACGTTGTATTCAATGGTCGTAGTGGGCTTGTGATTGTTTCACGTTTGTAGGATTGTAGTTTGTAATAATGTCACCTTCCTATTGTTTTCGTAAATTTCAATTCGTTGTAAAAGTCGAGCTATGTTTTGTCACTAACTTTTTCCTGCAACTGTTATTTGTATTTGCAATCTTATTTAATTACCAACAATGGACGCGGATTGCGTTTCGCATAAAGTTCTAGTTATAGTTATTTTGGACTCATAGTTGTTACTTGTCTTGTACGTCTGTCACTTTCGTGGTTAAAGAGTAGAAAGGAGATTGGGGAAAGGTGGAAGGCACTCCCCTCTGATGAGAAAATGAGGTTTGCGAAATTGGCTAAGGCGAGCGCCAAGGAACACGCCAAAGTAGTACCATGTGCACCGAAGTCTATAAAGGTCATTACGTACTTCATGTTTTCGTAAAAGCATTTGGCTAGGTCCTACTTTGTTGACATTGTTGGTTGTATTTTTGTATTAATTTAAGGGTAGAAAATGTGCAGGGTAAAAGCCAACTCCGTATATCATTGAAGTTAATTGTTGAGCTAGTTAACCGGTTCAATGAAGCACAAAAGCAGGCAGTCATTGACATTGGGTTTGTTGGCCTCATGGGGATGAAGTGTACGCGTATAGATCACGACTTGTGTGCATGGTGGGTACAGAACTTCGATCCTGACAGTAGTTCATTGAATGTTCATGGTGGCCAACTCAGGCTCACCTGTAAGGTAGTTAATGTTTTATTGGGAATACGGTGTGAAGGCGATGACGTGCAGCTGGCTGGGTCATTAGAAGCATATCCCAATATCTACGATGAGGTTGGAGTTGTTAACGGAGTCATTCCTTTGAACAAGTTGAGACTTTATCTAACCGAGACTGATGGTGCAGAGGACGAGTTTCGGAGGAAATTTGCGTTGTACGTCTTGGGGGCCAGGTTGTGTCCTACCACAATGACCGCCTTGAATCCATCGTTCATTCATGTCGTGAAGGACGTGAATGGTATGCGAGCTTGTAATTGGGCAAAGTTGACACTGCAATTCCTTCACAACAGTGTTCGCAACTCTAAAGGTCATCGCGGTGCAACTGGATGTGTTTTCCTGCTAATGGTATGCCAATAACTCGATTGTTTTTTCCATTCCCCCGTTCATATGTTTCATACATTGTTCTGTCATGGTTCAACAAATTGGCCTTGATTGGGACATACAACGTTACCTGCTTTATGAGTACGACAAATAACACTCTTCCTAACCAAGTATGGTACTTGCAGAAATATATTTTCTGCGAGTACCGTCATGAATTTAAGAACAAAGAGTACAGGGCAACAAGTATGACGAACCTCAATGAAGGAACCAATTTGCCTACGTTGCGAAGAGGGGAACATAATTGATTGATCTTCATCGGTTTGGAATAATCAATCAGACACAGAATGACACAAGAAATATTATACACATTTGTACGCAGAGTTGAAGAAGAATATACAGAAGAAACCTTAATAGGACCATTACCAAACCAAACGTATTGATTCTGGGAAAGGTCTTTTGGGTTGCAACCATTCATATATACAAACATGTACATAACTTTTGTTTTCTTGGTTTCATCAATAAAGTCCTTGGTGTGCTGTACAATTTTTTCCCCAAAAAACATTGCATGATATGTGCCTATAAAGTTGACAGCATCCTCAACAAAATCGGTATGCTATGTACGTTCCACTGCAAAATTGAGAATAATGAATGTCATTGTTACTGAATATAATTCATTTCTGTGGGAAGAACAACTTAATTATGGTATGCCCCTTAATGTCCACAGCTGTTGTACCTTGATTGTGTTTGTCTGAGCTCGACTACGACGCGGTCCACACCTCGGCTTCATGATTGGGGTGATACCCAAATACGGGAGACGCTGCGACGTATCAGAAGGAAGCAAAATTTCCCAACAATTGCGGTAAGCACTCCTACCACTGTGCACATTTCACACCATCGACCCACTTGTCTTCAACATACAATGTCAGACTTCATTTATGCGTTTCTATGATTAGGTGGAGTTTGATTACAGTAACGCCGATGATGATGACATGGATGCATGCCATGTCGAGAACCAACAAACAGGACAGTACAATGAAATCCGTATGAGCAATTTGGAGTCCGACATTCGTGAACTGAAGGAAATGATGAAGCAAGTTCTCCACAACCAAACAGATTTAATGGAGATGTTGCGACATTTCGAAGGCAAGCAAGTTGTTCGCAAAATGTGTATGTATGATTAGGTGGAAGGCAATGATGTGTGTATCATTGACCTCTCCTCTAATGTTGTTGAACTGAAGGAAATGCTGAAGCAACTGCATCAACGTTTCAGTTTGGGCTTCAATGAATCGTTCACTGAACAAACCAATTTAGGTGAACTGAATCAAATACTGCGCCACCTCATCGAAGGTATATTCTGTAGACCACAACCGGCAGGTGTGGACAAACAGGGTGTGGACCCTGCTGTTGGAGTCGAGGCGCATGACGATGGCATGGTCAAACCATCTGACGAAGTTAACCCAATGGAGTGTAATATTTTAGATGTACAAGGGGTGGATCACCAACAACAGAATTTGAAGGGAACCTTGGCAAGGGACAAAAGTCATTTCCATGATAGGCACAAGCTGAACATCGAAGAAGGTGGGGACAACCAGAAGAAGGAAGGCGTTCAGTCGGGGGAAACATATGAAACTGAAGGTAAATACAGTCCTGACCTTCAGTCAATGGGCATGAAGAACGTGGCGTGCTATGTCTATACTTATCCTACTAAGCTTGACCAACCATTGGGAGAAACTGGAATCATTAGAGGAAGTGCAAAGGGAAGAGAAAGACGAAAAAGAAAAGGAAAAGGAAAAATGCGCAGAAGTGGAGTTCAAGCCACTGAGGTTAGGGATATGCAATTGTGCATCGATAGCAAAACAAATAGTGGAGTTGACGACATCAGTTCACCTGTGGATGTTGATGGTGTGAATAAGGTGAACAAGGTACAAATACTGCCTTTAATGCCCCACAAGTTCTGAATACCCAATTCATGCCCACATCAATAATGTGAATCACTAATTTTACAATCATTTGTGTTGTATTGTACTAGTTGTCAAACAATTGCATGTTTGTAGCTATGACTGCTAGCATAAGTTTGTACACATTTGTAATAAACTTCGCACCAAACATCACAAGTTGGGAAAACTCTGAGGTTCACAGTTTATACATCATTTCACATTATTTTTTATGACTACCGACCTTGTAATGTAAGCTTCAATTTTTTTTATGAAATGTGTAGTGTTAGTTGGCTGTTTATTTTTGAAGGACTCGTTGAGGATGTTGGACAGCGAAGGGTTGTTATCGGCGGAATAACAAAAACTTCTCGACTATGTATTTGACGATAGCAAAAATGAAATGTATAGTTTCATTTAGTACTTGCAAATTTTAAATGACAGTCCACTGTGAAATAACTATCGTTCTAAAGATCATTATTGCTTGTATGGACATTGTTGTTTCTATGAATCTTCATGGACGGGCATGTGAAGTTGGTACCCGGCGTGACATGCGCACACTCAAACCAGGGTCGTGGCTATCCGACATTGTAAGTGTTGGCTGCGCACATATGAATCTACGTTTTTTAGTACCCCTGACTCAAAAACCTTTCTAATCAACTTGCCTTGTGTCTTACATACAATGTTCCAGCCAATCAACTTAGTGGTGGTGCAATTGACTAATCGACAGCCAGATTTACACAATGATAGGAGGCATACTGATTGGTTCTTTCCCGTATATCTGTCGGTAAGTAAGTGTTTAAAGCTACGTTGTGTTTTGTGTATGACATATTTTGTAAAATGTTTCCGTCAATGACCTTTATGCATTACCCATGCAGACTTTGATTCTAAATAAAGATACGCAACCTCTGCACCATGAAAATATCGTCACATCATTTTTCGGACATGACAGATACACTGGTGCGATTGATGCATGCCAGAGGATAATATCAATGTTCATCCCATTATATTAAAACAAAAATATGAAAGCCATTACATGTTTACATGGCCTCTAAACAAGGTCTACCCTTGTGTTTGCGTGTAGATTTACATGCCTTTCAATTACAGAGGAGTGCATTGGTTGTGCGTTAAAATTGATATGGTGGACCGTGTAGCCTACCTATTTGACATGTTCCCATCCAACCGACCGAACAAAAGGAAGCTAAATGCGGCAAAAATTTTGGTATGTCCTGGTGCATTTCTCAACACTACAACAAACTTGAACATCCTTTACATAAACCAACTTCAACCTTGTGGAATAGGTTCAAACTATGCACGACTTTCTGCAACTACACTTTGGAAATGTTTATGTTACAGACATGCGTAGCTTCCACCTCCGCATGTTAGATGAGAGGCCAGTACAACAACTGGATGAGTAATCCACAATCCCTCCCTCACATTAATGTGTATGCTGCATCACTGACTTAACAAACCTACAGACATTGATGACAAATTTAATGTGAAATTATTTTTGTAGCACGTTTGACTGTGGGATATTCGTCATCAAATTCATACAGCAACCTAATTTAAGCCCCGGTCCACACAAGGTACATTCTACCGCTTCATTTCCATTTGTCAATCAAATCCTTCCTTGTATGTCCTGCAATTTTAACTCATTTGTCTTATGATCTTTCTGTACAAAGTTCCATCTCTTTGTGCGTCATAAGTTGTTGGCTGACATCGTTATGGATGTCAATAATGTAAAGATCGCAGAGTACCGAGAGTGCCTTCATATGAGCAATGCCACAAGCTAGGCCAGTGATGGGAATGGGCTGCCAGTACGCCAGTAATTTGGGTGGCAACAGGACTTGACTAATTTTTTATTCTTTGATTTCAATATGGATGTTAATTATGGCTCCCCGGTATTGTTTTTGCTGGACGATATAAAGATGGACTAACTGCAAAGTACTATTTTGTTTACGCATGTTTCTTGTTCGGATGAATGCGACCGAAACAAATATATTTTACGGCTGTTTTTTTACTCATATTTGGAGTAATGTACTTGCTGCCCAATTTGTCAGATAACTTTGATGTCGCAACTGTAATAAAAAAAACAATTTGAAATTTTTCAAAATAAATAAAAACTAATATAATTACAAAATGAATTTATAATGAAATTTTGTTACTGGCTGCCGTCTTAGTTGTATTTTTAATTTGTTACCGAAATGAATTTATAATTTAATTACAAAAACAAAAAATTATTTTTCAGAAATGAAACCAACCACATTATGAATGAAAACTCAACTCTTTGTGCATAAGTTATATATCAGCCCATTAGCACATATGACTCCACCCAAAACAAAACATGCAATGTCTTACAGGAAAGGTTAAAAAAATAAAAAAATAAAACTACATATCTGCTGCATCATCAGCAGCGTCTTCTGAAGAGTTGTCCGTACTGTCAAATTGACTGTCCTCATCCATTGTCTTATCAGACTTTGCTTCGTCCGCCGCCAATTTCTCATCGGTCAGCCAATCAACGTTCTGCTTCATAGTGCCGACTTGCCGCTCCAAACTTGACAACCGTGTGTCCACTTTATTCAGCTTTTCGTAGATATCTTGCAACTGCTGCAATACAGGAGCAACATGAGCTTCAACAATAGCTTCAATCTTGTTCGAATCAGACATGTTGTAGGAATATGTGTATGGTTTATTTTACTTACTACTTTTTTAAAGAAATGTACAGATTCATAATATTACACAACACTATGCTGTAAGGATTTGTAAGATATGGTACATGACTTGTATGTTTTCAGAAGACCTCATGCATTGTGACATACATTGTACTAATTTCTCAAACTGGCCGAATTTATCTTGCAGAAATTCGTTCCTTCTTGCATACACCAAGTCATTCGCTCAGTACCCCTGATCGTCCATTATTTGGCATTTTCAACACACATGCATTGTACCTTCCATCAGTAATATCCCACCGTCATTGATTTCCACACCCACAGTTTATCATACATTCACATTCGTCATTTGTATTTGTGCCCCAACCCAACTTTTGGTCTACCCCAACCCAATTACATGTCTACTCATCCATAAAGCTTAGCGAAATTCCTCTTATCAGATACATATGCCTTTCCAACTACACCGAACCTATTAAATGAAATATTCAAAATAATTAATTTGCTTTTACTCAGTTTGGGTAGGTGTTGCCACCAAACAACAATAACTGTGTTCACATCTTTAAACCTACCACCAACGTATTAATGACTACGGGTTTAAGGTAATTTAACATTTACAACCAACCACAAAAAAAGTTTGCAACCAGTGTTGTTTCCTTTGCATTTGGGTTTGTTTTTGCGTCCATATGTTCTTCGTTAACCTGCGAAAACAAAGTTGGACTCAATCAACAACTGTCACACCTATGGATGCACACCACGGTAAACGCGGTCATAGACAATCACTTTCAAGGGCTGACAGCTCCCGACCGAAGTCACCAGAATTAGATTATGCAGGTGGGTATATCGATTCCTTCGGTGATCGACGTTTCATTGAAACAGGGTTCCCACTGTGGAGTTTTGAACCTCTACGGGATTACAATTGCACCTCATTACAAGATGCTAGCCTGGGGAAGTATTTTGGAATTCCAGTTTCACTGTTTGCCAAACGAGTTCAGTGTGAACACCACTGTCGATGTGTTTTTGTCAAGGTTACTAAAGCCCGATCGGTTGAAATGCAGCGGCAATTCCCTCATGTCAGCGAGTCCCAACTTAGGCATCGTTTGCAAAGTGAGATTGATCAAATAACTCGTTGCCTCATTAGGCACTCACGCATAGAGGACGCAAAGGCAAAGTCGAAGATACATGGATCGAACACAGCATCTGCGATCAAGGCTATAATGGAGGATCCTGCACTGGTGTCGGACCCTGACCTTTCAGATTACTCAGACTCCGAGGTTGTTGATTTGAGCGAGGATTAGGAGACCTCAACATGTGTATGACATAGTAAGCGTAGTGTTGTAAGATGCCATCGTGGTGCGAAAAAATACGACTTAGAAACTAACA